GGCAGAAATTCCTACTGTGTGGGTGGGGTGGGGGAGGTACAGTGGAGTGGTGGTGGGCGGCCCGAGGGGCTGGGAGAGGGTCCGGCCCACGCTGCGCCTGGGCTGTGACTGGTCCCGCCGGCGCAGGGTAGCAGGAAGCTCTCCACACACTCACCGGACCTGGGCTAGGACTGGGTCTCCATTTAAATCCTTTGAAGTTGATATCAGAGGGAAGTTCTGTAGTAGGAAGCCTACTGTGAGTATTGTATTTCTTCCTAAAGAACCTAGAGATAAAACCAAAACTTAACCAACTGTCATTATGTACCTGAGAACAGAAAAGAAAATTTGTGTTAATGTTCTGTTGCTGTAGCAGAATACCTGAGAAATACAACTTCAAGAATGAAAGGTGGTGCTGGTGAGATGGCTCAGTGGTCTAAAGCACCTACTTAGAACAAACTAAGTCAAGCAAAGCACAGAGACCGCGGTTCAATCCCCCAGCACCGCATGCCAGCCAGCCCCACCTTCTGGTGGGCTGAGCTGGCCACACACACACAGAAAATAAATAAATAAATAAATAAATAAATAAATAAATGAATGAAAGGTTTGTGGCCAGCCAAATAGCTCAGCGGATTAAGGCACCTGCAAGTAGGTGCAGGGGCTGGGGTTTTGATACCCGGGATCTGTCATCCTGGCCCTGCCCCCAGGGCGCACTGAGACCCCAGTTGAGACTAGGCGTGGTGGCACGTACCTATAATCCCAGCTTTTGGGAGGCTGTAGACAGGAGGATCACTGAGTCGATCTAGTAGTGAGACCCTGAACACCCTGTAGACCCTTCCCTATAATACAGAAAAAAAGAAAAAAGAAAAAAAGAATGCAACGTTTATTTTGGCTCACATTTTCAGAGGCCTCAGTCCATGGTCCCAATGCAGAGAGGTCACAATGGAGGGGTGTAGCATGGGAATGATCCTCTCCTCCCAGTGACCAGAATGCAGGATGGGAAGTCTGGCCAGCTTCCTGCTTCCACTTTTGTTCCATCTGGTTCCCTAGGCCATCAGGTGGTGCCATACACATTCACTACAGCCCACTACCCTTGGTTTGCAGCCCCATATGCCATTCATCTCTGGAAATTTCCTTATAGCCACACCCAAATGTATTCTTCACTAATTTCCTAATTTCTCAATCCAGTAAATTGACAATTAAAACTAACCATCATAATTTAGTGGTGGCAAGGGTGTGGTGGAATTCACTTCATTCACATGTATATTGCTTTAGTTGTTTAATTAATGAAATTCATAATACATATTTGACTGTAAATTGTTTTATCCTGTGGTTATAAACTCATGTCTAGCACTTGTTGACTCTGAAGAAACTTGTTATATGAACAGAGCTGGATGTAATACTTGTGTACAAGTTGAAAGCCATCTAGAGGTCCAGCAACAAAGGATAGCTTGATTAAACTGGTGTATCCTCTTGGTAAATGTAATTTTTTATTTAGGATTCTTTTGTGGTTTATTTTGAGACAGGGTCCCACTGTGCAGTTCAGTATGGCCTTGAGCTCACTGGGCTCCTCCTGCCTCAGCCTCCTGAGTGTTGAGATTACAAGGGTATGCCACCATGACCCAGCTAGAGATAATCTGATAGTTGACTATTGTGACCTATTTGTTCTAAATCTAAAGTGGTTTGATAAAACCAAAAAAAGCTGGAGTATGGTAGCCCACACCCATAATCACAGCACTCTGGAGGCTGAAGCAGGAAGGTCACTCCAAGTTCAAGACCAGCCTGAACTACATAGTGAGTTGAAGGTTAGTTAAAACTACTTAGACCAAAAAAAAAAAAAAAAAAAACTACTTAGACCAACAGTATTTCAAAAAACAAAAAGGAAAGTCTTTTAAAATGCTAAGAAGGTTGACTGATTATAGGTTATGCTGAGCAAAATAAAACAAGAGCCATAACTTACCTTGCTTTGCTGTTTTCTGGTTAATGTTTTATCTTTTTGATCTTTGTAGTGCAATTAAACTGAGACCAAAGGAAGGGGAGACATACTTTGATGTTGTGGCTGTTGTTGACCCTGTCACCAGAGAAGCACAAAGACTTGCCCCATTGTTGTTGGTAAGGACCAAGGCAGAGGCAGTTCGTGCCATCTGTCACAAGTAGCCCTGTGCCCTGGGGTTCTCTGGGAGCGCTCTTTGTGTGTAGTCATCTTTAAGGGTACTAGGAAATAGCATAGGGCATCTTGGGCAGAGTGGCCTTTTTTGAAGATTGGTAATGACTCTGAAAACAGCTTTACAACTTTAGCAAGTTGTACAAGTTTTCTCAATGAACATTTCAGAATAAATTACTGCTGTATATAAAAACAAAGTTGGCTACTTCATATAATTGAAAATGACTGATACCCTCCTTTAGAGCAAAATATCTTCAAATTATGCTGTAATTGTCAGTAGCAAAGGAGTAAAAAAGTAAGATAGCTGTTCTTTCATTTTCCATATTTATAACTACTATGGACCTTTTCTCTGAAACATGTCTTATATGTGTGAGATATTCTATTGTATAATTGAAATGGTACAATAGAAATGTACAGTTCTGTGTACATTTAAAAGAACTCTTCCAAAAACAATCACTTGGACATTTAATTTCTTGGAATAATCTTTATTGAAGTACAGTCATCTGAAATTTTGTATGTGTATTTATGAGTTTTCATACTTTACATGAGTTGTAGCACCAATGTCTTACATTTTCTTTGGGAAGGCAGGTGCGCATCACCTACTGCTGTGCCCTGACTTCGTGTTACAGATTCTTTATATGCGAAGCAGTGACCTGTGTGTGTCTGTGTCTGTCTTGGAGGGCAGGTTATATGATTGAATGATTTAGATCTGTACTGGAGTTACGATTTCCAGCGTATTATTTTTCTGTATCTTCCTTAAGGTATTAAGAAATGTTTTCTCTCTCAACACCTAGTAATTTTTGAAGAGAAAATTTAACGTCTTCTGTTTTGTCCTTTTAGGTTTTGACTCAGCTGATAAACATGAACCTGAGGGTGTTTATGAATTGCCAATCTAAACTTTCAGACATGCCTTTAAAAAGGTAAAACATACTGTTTAAGAAGTTGGAAATTTTAAAAGGAGTATTGATGTCTGCTCCATGGTTTTAGGCAGACATCAAGTTCAAAGAAGCATTTATTGAATGTTCATTTTGCCAATTTTCTCTTATCAGAAGTTCTGAGAGTGTGGGTGGGCATGGGAACATTTAGGTAGCATTAACCCAGGCTACTTGCACTGTGTATTTCCTCCTAAAAGTAGGCATTTCAGTTGTGGTGTGTGTGTTAGAGGAACCTTGAGTAGGGTTAGTTGCACATACAGTATTTTGAAAAAAGAGTTCAAGCTTAGTTTTTTTATATTGTCATGAACTTTGAAATGGTCATTAATGGAAAAAGTAACATTAAAATCAGTTAATTATAGTATAGCACCTATTGTAGCTGCAGAAAATTACTCATTTGCAAATACGCTGTGTTCCGTAGCTTTGATTCTAAATGAACGCTGTTTACAAATGACCAAGCGTTTCCCATGTTTTGCTATTGTCTTGTATAAAGAAATGGTTATGTTACATACAAGCTGGGTGTAGTGGTGTATCTTCCTAATCTCAGCACTTAGGAGGCTGAGGCAGAAGGATTGCCATGAGTTAGAGACCAGCCTGAACTACATAGTTCAAGGATAGCTTGAACTACACTACATAGTGAGACCCTGTGGCTACCGCCCCCCCCAAAAAAAAAGTTATTACATACAGTGTTTTCAGAGCCCAATCACCATTTAAGACTTAGCTTGTAAGAAAAACTCAAGACCTGTGGTTACACAGAAGAAATCTAACACTCTTATTTTCAATTTCAGCTTTTACCGTTATGTCCTAGAACCAGAGATTTCTTTCACAGCAGACAATAACTTTGCTAAGGGTCCAATAGCGAAGTTTTTGGATATGCCACAGTCTCCACTGTTCACCTTGAATCTGAATACACCCGAGAGTTGGATGGTCGAATCTGTCAGAACACCATATGATCTTGATAATATTTATTTAGAAGAGGTAAGGATGTAACAACCACATTCAGATGTAATTTGTATGCCATAAAGTCTGCCCTTCCGAAATGTGCAGGTTAGATGTCTGAGTATATGCCCAGAACTGTGCAGCCGGCGCTGCTAACTAAGGTTAGTGTTTTCACGGACTCAGAGGGAGCTTCATCCACGTTAGCACTGTGTTGCATCCCCTGGCCCTGCCAACTAGAGTTTTCTACCGCTGTACATTTGCCTGTTTTGACAGTTTGTTTAAATAGAGTCGTGCAGCATGTGGTCTTTTATGACTGGCTTCTTTCACTTAACAAATGAGTTCATGTGTCATTCATTTTTAGCACCAGATGACTTTCCTCTGTATGGATATACTATACTTTAACCATTCATGAGTGGTCAGTTTGGGTTGACTCTACCTCTTGGTCACAATTTGAATTGTTTCTACTTAGCTATTATGTGTAATGTTGCTATGAATCTTGTTTTCAATACAGAATAGTTATTTTTATAACTTTTGTAAGTGTCTGGAGTCTGTAGTTTTTGTCTGTAGTTTTTGAAATGATCTCCTTAGTCTTCTCCTTTCTTTTTCCCATTCGGTTTTTATATTGTATAGTCATTAGCCACTATTAAAATCAAGATACAAAATATTTCTTCATCCCATGAAGGTCCCTTTTACCTCTTTTCAGGCAACCCCTCACTTAACCACAGTGAATGATTGACTTGTTCTTTGTCATTGTCATTTTGCCTTTTCTTGTATTTCTTACAGTATGATCCTGCAGTATATAAGTCCTCTTGTTTGCCTCATTGACTTTTCAAAATACATTTTAGATTTTGCTGCTGAGTATCTTTCAAGTGATTTTTGGTATTGCAGGTGGATAGTGTGGTGGCTGCTGAGTATGAACTGGAGTACCTCTTACTAGAAGGGCATTGCTATGACATCACCACGGGCCAACCTCCACGGGGACTGCAGTTTACCTTAGGGACTTCAGCCAAGCCTGTCATTGTGGACACCATTGTTATGGCCAATCTGGTAAATAACACATCAGATAGAGATAATGGCACTCATGTTAATTTCGGAATTATAATTTATGGTAGAACAGTTAGTATCCTAACTCGCAGAGCAAGATTAAAATTCATAGTTGGTTGAATTTGGTCCATATAAAAGTCATTAGCTTGGTTAAATGTGAAGATTGGAAATACATGTCTGCTTAAAAGAAAAAACAAAACTCTGATCTACTCTGATTAGCCGCTGGGAATGCACTGCTCCTGAGCTGCCTGTCTTTTCCTTAAGAAGTTAGCAGCTCTCTCAGCCATCGTACCTTTCATTTCCACGGGCATACAGCTAAGGGGTGCATTTTGTGGCTGGCTTGGTGTGTATTTGCCTAGGGTGTCTAATATGTAGTTGTTAGTTTGATTGCTGCTTCTGCATCACCCTGATTTGTTAACTATCTTGTTTAAGTTATCTAGGTGTCTAATACTTCAGAAGGTGACATAACTGTTACTATGGAATAGCATTTTTATGTTTTTTTTTTTTTAAGCACTTTTATGTTTTAAAAGAGAACTGAAATTTGGCTTTTCTTCATATCTTAGGGCTACTTTCAACTAAAAGCCAACCCAGGAGCTTGGATTCTCAGACTTAGGAAGGGACGTTCTGAAGATATTTATAGAATCTACAGGTAGGATCAGTATTGCTAGTGCACTGTTTTGATAACATTTTGAAGTGAGACTTAGCTCTAATTATATATTATCTGGTATTTTTCCTGTCATTATAAATTTGTTACAGTCATATATGATAGAACAATACTATTCCAGAGAAGTAAATTTGGTAAAATTGTTAGAAAAGAATTACTTGAATATTAAATGTTAAAAGTATAATCAAGCTTTTTTTTAATAGTCAAGTTTTATTCTCCATTAATTCATCTATACTAACACTATCCAAGAATCAAATCATTCTTTTAGTGATGCAGAGCATAGACACATGAGAAATTTTGTCATTTGAAAAAAGAGAAAGAAAAGAACAGCCAACCGTGGTGGTATATGCCTGTAACCCCAGCAGGAGGATTGCTGTGAGTTCAAGGCCAGCCCAAACTATATAGGGAGACCCTGCTCTGAAAAAAAAAAGGAAAGAACGATCAAACCAAAGATCTTTGTTTGATCGTTGTGACCCTGAATGATTTAGAAGTACATAGTGCATATAAAATTAGACCATGAAGGTTTGTCAGTTCTGATCTTTCTTGCTCTGTGGTGATATAGAAACACACTAGGTCATTCTGCCAGTAGCCAGGTTTTTGCCTCAGGCAAAATTACACTCTTTTTCTCTGAGTTTGGTGGCCCATACTTATAATCCCAGTTACTCTAGAGACTGCGGCACAGCAGCATAGTGTCTCAAAATAAAAACGGTAGGGATGGAGCTCAGTGCCTGCCTAGAATGTGCGAGGCCAATCCCCAGTATTGCAGTGAGAGGAGAAAAACCACATGGCCTTTAAAGAGGTTTGGTCTGTTTTCTGCTTAGTCAATTTAAAATAGTCTAAAATTCCCTGAAAAAGCTTCAGTGTATTTATTTAGGGAGTAATTTTCACCAGCGTTTATCTGCGGTGCTCCCTTGAGTCGCTGCCCTGGCCCCATGGTGCCTTACTCGGCATGCATGAAAGCAGTGTACGTTAGTATTGATTGCTGACTCGGGAACTAGGAAAATTTTGGATTGCAGTATCACTTCTGTTGTAAGTAGGGTTTTTCCACATAGCACAAATTTTAATTATGCTTTCAAATTCCGTGTTGTTCGTGTGCTTCTTTTTCTCTTCTCCACTCTGACAGGCTGTAGTGCCACCTCTTCTTGGCTGTGCTCGCTGAGTCCAGAGTGGTTCATACTTGAGGTTTCTTCCCTGCCAGAACTCTGCTGTGGCCTGAGAGCTCTTCTCTCTCCCGGTGACAGCACATGCAATGAATTCATATTGGTGTGACTTCCTACACCTTGAAATTTGGTGATACCTTTAAATTTTAGGCAATATCATTGGTTAGTAGGAAAATATCATTTAAAATTTTTACTGCTCTGCAATTTTTGTCTGCCTACAAAGAGAGCTGGTTACAGTTCTTCCTGCTGGAGGCACTAAATTGTCTGGTTGAGTTCCCCAGACAGGAAGAGTGAGATTTCTTCACAAACTGTTCCACTTAAAAGAATAGACATTTCTGGGCGTGGTGGTACATGTCAGCACTTGGAGGGCTGAGGCAGCAGAATCACTGCAAGTTTGAGGTCAGCCAAGGCAACAAAGTGAGTTCAAGGCCAACCTGAACTGTACAGGGAAACCCTGTCTCAAAAAGACTCCCCCCATTAAAAAATGGGGATCAGCTCCAGTGATGGTTCAGAGTGGGCTCCCCCACCCCTTTTATTCAGAGTGTTGTATTACAAACAAGGGCAGTGGATATGAACAAAATAATACTATACGCGTTGAACTCCCTCCCAAAAAGTGAATTTAGGGAAGGCCAGAGCAAGAGGGAATGGAGTGGGGCTGCGGTGTGTGAAAATTATCAAAGTATATTGAAACCTGTTGATCCCTATGACCAAGTAAAAAAATAAAAAGAGCAGGAGGAGCCGCAAGCACCCTCAGTCCCTCAGTGCTCACTGTGTGCTTGCCAGGTACAGGAGCACCTCACTTGACCATGGGCAGCTGGGACACTCGGGTTGGAAGTTGGGGTACTGGTCCCATGTACAGATTTTGGCATGTGCTTGTGTGCAGCTCAGAAGGGCTTCCTGTAGGTTCTGTCTGAGCAAATAATTTGTTTTGACAAAAGTGATGGGCAGACATGACAGATTTTTGTCCAAGGGTTTACTGCACTTTGAGAATTGTGATGTTTAGTGTCTTGTCTTGCTTTTCTCTCTAAGCCACGATGGTACAGATTCTCCTCCTGAGTCCGATGATGTGGTTGTCATCCTCAACAACTTCAAGAGCAAAATTATTAAAGTGAAGGTGAGTTTCTATACTAAACCAACCACTCTTTCATAGTTGTTGAAAGTAGTTAGTCAACTTGTAAAATTTAGAGTTTCTCCTTACTGAAGGTTTCACTGTTGGGCAGCCACAGGCTGAGAATACTACTTTGTCTTGACCCTTGTAAGAGCAGCCACAGTCACAGTACTTTTATTCGATATGTAATATTTTGCCAGAATTGTTTCACACCATTAGTTGTCATCTCTTGTTATATTTAGTTTATGATTTAATCTTTATCATAAATATGTATGTATAAGTAAATACAGCATAGAATTCTGTACTAAGACTTTAGGCATCTTCTGGGGCTCTTGGAAGGTATCTCTGTAAGATAAAGAGGACAACAAATTTATAAGCTAGCCTAAAACTATAGAATTCACTAGCAATTATAGGAGTAGTGCTATATGGCAGAGTTTTTTGTAAGTGTGAATTTATGTCTTGCTTCAATAAAAAGCTCACACTTTTTGGGTAATCTCAATGAGCAAGTCCGGTCGCATTTTATTAAAAATAAAAGTATTCTCTGAGATTTGCTTATATCACCATCATGCTTAATAGTATTGATGATTTTGTTTTCGGAATAGTGGGGAAAATAATGAAAATACATAGTGAAGTGGTAGTTCTTTTTACTTTCTTCATTCCATCCTCAGCATTTTGGAGTTCGTACTGCCTTAAAGTAAAATGTATTATTGAATAAATAATCTCTGTGTGCAACAAATGTTCCTGTCACCCATGCATGATGAGCAGAAAAGGGTCCCATAGAGAAGGTTCGGCCTGTGTTTGGTTAGCTAGTCCTGCAAACAGGTTGTGATCTGAATCCCTTTCCTCAGCAGCTCCTGTGAACTGTGCTCCTCCCCTACGCCCACCGCTAGCCTAGGGAAGTATTCGCCTGCCTTTCCTCAGGCTGAATTTTCTACAGGGCTGAATTTGAGGTTCTTTGCTCATTACACAAACTAAAAATGGTCCTTGCTTAAATGAAGGAGGTTGCTCTTCCCTACTTAATACTCTGATGTCACCATCCTAATGTAGAAATTCAGGGCTTTTATTATTTTTTTTCCCAAGTTTTGTTTTTATGAGGATATGTTGGTATAATAGAGATTACATTCCTTATGGGGAATGGGTGCATATGCGTGACACGTCTGAGTTCTTTCTCCTTCCCCTAAAGATACTTCTCTTGAGTGCTGATGGATGCTGGAGAATGTTCTAGTCCTTGGGGAGCTGGTGGACAATTTCCTGCTGTTACCAGTGCTCACAATGTCCACCCAGTGCAAGGCAGCTACCCTGTTAGACCTGCAGGGAGGAATAAGATCTGTCATGTATGATTGCAGGTTCAGAAGAAGGCAGACATGGTGAATGAAGACTTGCTGAGCGATGGCATAAATGAAAATGAATCTGGATTTTGGGACTCATTCAAGTGGTAAATTGGCATTTTTTTAAAAAGCTGCGTTTTTAAGGAAAAACTGGACCATCCACACCTGCTTTTTAATAGTGTCCTGTCTGGAGCTTGTGTGTTCTTTGTGCAGCCAAACCTTGTGTTTATATTTGGGTCGGTGTTTCCCAGTCAGTTCCCTGGAGGAGCTTTTCTGGTTTCCTGTTAGTGAACTTGCGTTCTGTGCTTCTCAAATCCCCTTGGGCTATGCCTGCTCTTTGGAGAGGTATTTAGTGCCTGCCTGGTTCATCTCGCATGCTCTGCAGAGGAGCCTGTGTGCCCTGTATTCATTCCTAAAGCAGCAGGAGGCCTTGGAGGGAGCATCTTCCTTTTCCCTGTGGGATGGCATTGCTGGCTTTGTGCCCTCTCTCAGGGCTCTGGGTGCTTTGTGCCACTCCTTCCAGACCTCACCTGCTACAGCAGGAACGGGAATGGGAAGGCACCACCTTTGTCCTCTCCCCTTGCAGGACTGTGTGTCTGCCCACGGTGTGAAGGTACTGATTTTACCTCTGTTGTTACAGGGGCTTTTCAGGAGGACAGAAGACTGAGGAGGTGAAACAAGATAAAGATGACATCATTAATATCTTCTCTGTTGCATCTGGACATCTCTATGAAAGATTTCTTCGGTTAGTTTTGTTGATTATTCAGTGTATGCTAATGAATTTGTCATAGTATTCTTACTTAGAAAAAGTTTTCTTAGAGTCTTTTCATTACATTTGTGTTTTATTTGGAGCACTTTGAGAACTAGGAATAACTTGTGCCTTGTGTAGTTCTCTCCGTTTTTATCCATCAAAATCCATGAAGTTTAGCTAGGTAATGAATGCCTCTGTGGTATTATAAGCCTACTAATCTTCAATATCATGTAAACATTTTATAGAGAGCATGTTTACTTGGCCACCAAAAATTGCTTAAACCATAAGTCAGGACATTCACTTAAAGAATAGAAGACCAGCACTGTGCAACACTTTCCTACCTTCTACAGATCCATAGACTTTATTAAAAA